GGTGACATCATTCTGTAAAAGGTCCTTGTGCTGTCAATCCAGTAACACATGCCCTCACAGCTCAGTTGTCATAACGTATTTAATCTAAGCCAATAAGAGTTCTGCTTATTGTTTGTTTGTTTGTTGTTTTCTGTTTCTTTTTTTGATTGAGAAGACAAAATGGCAAAGCAAATGGCCTCAGCAACTGAACTCTGAGCTGGAACTCTCTAGCTCTTTTTGGCAACATGGGCATGGGAATTTAGTTCACTCTAGTGAACCTTTCTAAATGTCTGGACTTAGTATAGCTCTTACAGTGTTTGATAAAGACAAATAAAGAACACATGGTGTTCTCTGAGCAGGTCCAGTTATGTGACAGTGCTGGTATGTCTTCCTGGTTCCCTCTAGGCCTACCACAACCCTCATTGTCTACACTATGTTGGAAGGGACAAGCACATCCTGGCTTACTCAGGATGTGGCCTGACTTCTGGTAGAAGTTTTAACTGGAGGGACATGGCAAGTGCTGGTAAAGCAGTGGGAGTGTGTGGTGATATTGTGTTCCCCCAAATATTGTGCACCTTAATAAACTTATCTGGGGTCAGAGAACAGAACAGCCACTAGATACAGAGGTCAGAAAATGGTGGCACTCATACCTTTAATCCTAGCATTCCAGAGGCAGAGATCCATCTGGATCTCTGTGAGTTCAAAGCCACAGTGGAAACAGCCAGGCATGGTGACTCACGCCTTTAATCCCAGGAAGTGAGGGCAGAAAGCAGAAAGGTGTATAAGGCGTGAGGAACAGGTACTAGGTTGGTTAAGCTTTCAGGCTTTCGAGCAGCAGTTCAGGTGAGATCCATTGGGATGAGGACTCAGAGGGTTCCAGTCTGAGGAAACAGGATCAGCTGAGGAACTGTTGAGATGAGGTAGCTGTGGCTTGTTCTGCTTCTCTGATCTCCCAGCGTTCACCCCAATACCTGGCTCCCCGTTCGTTTTTATTAATGAGACCCTTTAAGATTCCTGCTACAGGAGTGAGAGAGGAACAGCTTGTGATTCGGTGTGGGGGGTCTTCCTGGTCGCGGTTTGAGCAGCAACTCTGCAATCTCTTCCTGTCCCAGCATCCACGGACCCAAGGGTTACATGACTTGCGCTGGTTCCAGCTGCTGAAGTCCCCTTCAGCTTCCATCAGACCCCACGTTTCCCGACCCACCCATGCCCAGGTGCTGCAGCACCCTTGTGGGTTCCTTTGGTGGAGTTCACTGTTCTGTGACAGTTACCTCGTTTAATCCTGTTCAGTAAATTTCCTGACACTACTAATTACTGCCTGCCTCTAGGGTTCCCATGTAATGGAGTCTCAAATTACTTTATCTATGTTTGACTGTTTACACCAGATCACTAAAATATCATTAATAAAGGTAAAAATGGGTGTTTCAAAACTGAAGTAAGTTAAAGTCAGCTTCATGACTTCTTGTAACTGATGGTATATGTTTTCTTTTTCTAATTAATTAATTAATTAATCAATTAACTAACTAATTGATTAATTAATTAATTAAATTATTGGTTTTTTGAAACAGGGTTTCTCTGTGTAGCTTTGTGCCTTTCCTGGAACTCACTCTGTAGCCCAGGCTGGCCTCGAACTCACAGAGATCTGCCTGGCTCTGCCTCCCGAGTACTGGGATTAAAGGCACATGTCACCACTGCCCAGCCATATACATTTTCTAAGAAGTAGAAATGTGGGTGAGTGTAGTTGACTAGATTTCTGTTGTAATATCATAAACATTGAACAAATCATTCCTGGGGATGTATGTTGGGGCTCTTCACCTTTTGGGTAAGTATTGGAGATCTATTCCTGGAATAAAAGATACTAGGGCAGTGGTCACATAGCCAGTTCTAGTTCAACTGTAGATGGAGCCATGGTTCTGCAATAGCCTGATAATGAATGCATCAAGATTTAGGAGTAACTGGGTGAACTGACGGGGTGTGGCTATCAATTTGGATGGAGAGAGCTTGTAAGATGACATAACAGAGTTCAATTTAGAAACATGCAAATAGGAAATAAGCAGGAAGGACAGTGTCAGATTGAGTCCTGTGAAGGACTAAGTAAGTGTGTGAAGGTATTACACACTGGCTGTAAACTGTGTGAGTATAAATGTTCATTCAACGGGGCACCCAGCTGCTAAGCTCACTGTAGACAGCAGGGGAAGCAAACTGCTAGCCCTGTCACTAGCTGTCTGCTCTTAGGATCTGTGCATGGCTTGGTTTGCAGCAAATGATGGGGGAAGCTGGGATAGGCGGTGGCATTACCACCACAGGAAGCACGTCCTCCAGGAACAAAACCATTGTATTCAGCCTGGAAATGATGTTAACATGATTGGTCCTATGAAGCTCTCTCCATCAAACTCACTTTTACCTCAGTCAAAATTGAAACGTCCCTAATTCTCCAGTGCAATAGAATCCCACAGATGTCTCACTTCTCTCTCTAATCACAGCAGGAGTGGAGAGAGGCTGATTCACTACATAGGAGAAGGAGTTAAAAGGTCTGGAGGGGAGGCTTGTTGGATCTGAATTTCAACTCTGCTCTGTCATCTGTGGATGATTTGTTTCACTTTTTTTTCGTTTCACCTTGTGGTTGATTTGTTTTACTCATTCATATTTTGGTGGGTTAGAATAGTTTACACTCTGAATACTGAAATCACTGAAATAGATAAATAATATATACAGTGGACTTCACAGGGGATCTGACATAGTAAATAATAAATCTTAACTGGTTTATGCAGAGTCCATCTACCAAATTCTAATCATACCTCAAGATTAGGGTCTGTGTTAGGTACTCTCTATATAATGCCAATCCTATCATATGCTAAATACTAAATAATTATGTGCCAGGCATCTGAATTTGTTAATTTGCTATAAAACTCTGTTTTTCTTTCTCTAAGAAAACCAAATCCTATGCAATAGCTTTTATGGTGTTTGTCACAGAGTTTACACGATAATAGAAAAGAGATTAGTAATAGTTGTTTGTACTTCAACTGTCTATCTTTTAACTATTAGCAGCTAATTGATTATCTACACACTTAGGTTCAAACAGAAGCGTAATCACCTTTCAGTTGTAAAACATTGGTGAAATAATTATAAGTGAGAGCCTTGCTAAAATAACAACTAGAAATAAATTATAGATATGCCAAAAGAGGGAATAGGCTATTTATTTAGATTTCCTTTTGCGGATGTCTCAGATAATTTTTAAGAAAATTATGTTTAGATCTGTTAATTCATATTAAACAAGTATACAGAGAGCTTGGTATTGAACATCCAATTGTTATCAACATACCAAATAGTCTTTTTCATTCACTAATTCTGCAATTAATTTAGCCTATAAGAGACCTTTTCCAGGAAGAAACAAAGTGCTAAAGAGGCCCACTGAAATCCACAAAGATACTCCCACAATAGACTGCTGGCAATGGTCGAGAGACAGCCGGAAGTGACCTACTCTGGTAATGGGATGGCCAAATACCCTAATA